TGAGGGACTTGGGGATCACTTCACTGCCGGGTGAACGTGAATGAAGCCGCAGTCCGAGGGATGACAACAACCCGGATGACGCGGGACCAGCCCGTCCCAGGATTGGGAACACCCACGTCAGGGCCCCACAGGAGCGAGAAGTTCGACCACGGCTACGAGCTTTGAGGTGGTTGAAGAAGCCATCTTCCGAGGAGAAGATTGAGGAGAAGAAGATTGAGGAGGAGAAGAAGTCAGAAGATCCAGAGGAAGATTCGCATCAGGGTGGACCAGCACTCCCTTGGGAGTACAAGGTTCCCCCGATGCTCAAGAACAAGAACAAGGATGAATGGGATTGGTCCCAGCCGGGATGGGCAATCCGCGCACATGGAAAACCTCGGAAGCGCAAGTTCCACCCGATCCACAGGGAGTTCCCGCTGGATGCAGCGCTGCTGGAATCGAGGAGGATCACGGTGAAGCTACATACGGGCACATCGCCGTTAGGGATTCGGTCCGTGGTGGAGGACAGCTGGACGGCTCATCAAGAGCGACAGAGGACTTCGCAGATGCAACCATGGCGGGGGTACACCTTCTTCCGGATCAAGATCGGGAAGGAGCAGAATTCGGGCGGAAGATCCACGAGGAATCGTGCGAGGGCTTCAACGAGCGTGGATCCAAGGGCAACTGGGTCTGGTGGCGGAGAGGTTCACCATGGCTATGCTCGAGGCAGCTCGGAGAAGCGGGGTAAGGACGCGGGGCCGGTCTTGACGTTCCCGGAGACGGAGACTTTTGAAGACCGTAGGCCTCAAGGAGTTTTTCGAGATGAGGAATCCGATAAGAGGGCCTCGTCTTCGGACTCATCCAATTGGGATGTGGTCTGATGTGGCGAATGCCACAGGGGGAGTGTGAAGAGAGCACTCAAATTTCGTGAGCATGGACGACCAACTGCAACGTTGGCTCAAGACGCATCGGAAAAGGGTGCGCGCTAGTTTTTACCCCAACATAACCGTAGTTTCAAACATGTGTGTCTGTTCAATTACAGCTTAAATAAGCAAATTCTTTCCGAATAGGAGCCACACGAAAATGTAAGTATAGTTTCGGGTAAACTCCAGCTAATCTTTAACAAAAGAAGTTAGATAGGGGATTATTGTGAAATATGGTTTGTGTTATTTACATTCTTGCCCTTTTGCAGCATAAGAAATTTAACTTGTTAGACGGTGACATGTCAGGACAAGAGAGGTTCAAGTTCTAAAATTCTCTTGAAACAGGGATTCTAGCTAAATCATTTGCACAGGGAAAAATAATTCTATCTCAAAAGGTGGAGGTACTAGATGAGCAAATGTGGACAGGTAGTTCAAGAGGGGGGGCGACGGTGTGTGAACATACATATATGTGTATAATATATATATATATATAGATACACATACGTACACACATACATAGTACCCCTATTGATCCTGCGCCTCTTCACAAAATACTGTAAAATATAGTTTTTTGAGCATTACACCTACCTTTGTTTACCTCCTGGAAAAGGGTCAACATGAGCGTAGCTGACATGAAGCAAACTGCTCACCAAAAGCACTTGAAAGTTTGTCTAACTAATAGCTTGAAATTGTTTCCACTGGACACTGGATGGAAGATGCAAGACTGAAGATGACACAGATAACTTTCCTGAGAATTGTCAATCCTGGCCAAACCCAAACAACATTCAAGTTCTTCCAACACTTGAAAGTGCTTTAACACCGGATTGAGGATTCAATATTGAGGATTGCACAAACAACAGCTTTTCTGCGAATCATCCATCCTGGTCAACCCCTAAAAAGTTCAGGAGTGAAGATTCGAGATTGACATATTGCACGGAAGTCTTTTCCGAGAATCTTATTGAACACCAAGAGTATTGGGACAACCCTAGATTATGTTTTTAAATAGGATTTTAAGCAATCTGGGATTCAAGATTCAAAATTCCCAGAAAATGTTTTCTCAGATTCTTGAATCTTGAATCCATTTGTTTTTGAGAAAATACAAGTCTGAGGTTCAAGGTTCAAGATTCCCCGAAATTATTTTCTTAGATTCTTGAATCTTGAATCCACAAACTTGGCAAAGTTTCAGAAAACCTGAGTTGTTCTAATACTCTTGGATGCACTCCAAGCTCTTTAGATTGCAGATGCTGATGTCATTGCTTTTATCACACATGTGTATGCATGCATACCATATATACATGTGGCACTTCCTACATTTGACCCAAAATCCAAGAAGCAAAAAAGCATAAAACACTGGACAAATGCAGGTCAAACGCACCAAACCAGGGTCCGTGGGGGGGGGGGTTACCATTTTATTATATTTATATTTATACATACACTGTACTGTGTTAACAGCCTGCCAACAGCATTGCCCCAGGAAAAGCTACAGTGCGCCTCAAGCCGCAGGTTTGGCACAGGCGACTGGGTACACAAGTCACTTCAAGTGTAACATGGTGGCGGGAAGTCGCAGCACTTGCCCTGGGAAGCATCCTGCAACCTCTCCCGCACAGCAGCAACAAAGGAATTCACGAGCGCAGCGCATTAAAGAGTGGAACTGCAAGATGGCAGCACACCTTGGACCACTCAACTGGAAGAGCAGCACCCTCAGAAGAAGCAGCAGAGCAGTTGTCTTCGTTGCGCTACATCTTGGTGAGCACACTCGATGGACCAACATCAGCAATTTGCAGACAACGGTAACTACAATTTAGATACTCCCACTTGGTAAATAAGCGTTGGGAAGAGTGAACGAGTGAGCGACGAGCGGGAGTGCGAGTGTGAGTGAGAGTGAGAGTGAGCGAGTGTGAGCGACAGCGAGAGTGAGCCAGTGTGAGTTCGAGTGCGATTGCGAGTGCGAGTGCGAGTGCGAGCGCGAGTGCGCGTGCGAGTGCGAGTGAGCGAGTGCGTGAGTGAGCGGGTGGGTCAGTGAGTGAGACTGGGCCATCGTACTTCAAACTTCCAGCTAAAAGGTGAAGGTGAGATTGCGTTCGGGTTCGTGGCTTCTATCAGGTTTAAAAACTCCGAGACTCAAGATTCAAGAATCTGAGAAAATGCTTTTTTGGGAACCTTGAATCTTGAATCTCGAATCCCATTTTTTGTTAGAAAACCCAGGGTTGTTTCAACACTCTAACTGAGTATGCGCACCCGCCTGCAGTCATGTGAGCAGCGCCATAAACCCTGACAATACAAAGTAGTAAAGGGGGGTGTCCTATAGAATCCCCGCGAAAGCCAAAACACAGGCCGCGAAAGCTGGCGAAAGCTTATCGCGAAAGTAACCAAAGAAGGTCCCGCCGCGAAAGACCCGCGAAAGCCTGCATGCTGTGTGGCAGTCCGCCGCGAAAGCGTCGCGAAAGCAATTCTAAAGAAAACAAAGCTCGCGAAAGCAAAACATGGGGTCGCGAAAGCATCGCGAAAGGGTCCGCGTAAGCAAGTTCATAGGACCGCTTTTTACACAAGAGTATTTGGCACGGCTCATGTGCATTTTATCTGCAACCCTCCAAGTTCCCGCAATTTCTGGATTCAAAGCAAGCGGACACGCTTCTTGGAAAAGCTTTCTGTGAAAGAGTTGAATCTTGAATCTTCAGTCCAGTGGTAAACTTTACTTTTGAGGTTTTAGAACAACTTGAACAGTTTTTTGGGGATGGATGACCCTCAGGAAAGTTGTTGTTTGCGCAATCCTCAATATTGAATCCTCAATCCGGTGTTAAAGCACTTTCAAGTGTTTGAAGAACTTGAATGTTGTTTGGGTTTGGCCAGGTTTGATGATTCTCAGGAAAGGTTTCTGTGTAGTTTTCAATCTTGAACCTGCCACCTAGTGGCAAAATACTTTCAAGTGCTTAGCGATTCAGTGGAAACACTTTCAAGTTCTTAAGTAGACAAACTTTCAAGCGCTTTTGGTGAGCGGTTTGCTTCATGTAAGCTATGCTCATCTTGACCGTTTTCGAGGAGGCACAGGTAGGTGTAACGCTGAAAACACTGTATTCTGCAGCATGTTATGGAGAGGCCGGGTTCATGACAATTTCTATATGTCTATGTATGTGGTTTTTCTTGTTAGAGACACATGTTCACACACTGTCACCCCCCCCTGAACGACTAGTCCACCTCTGCTCATCTACCACCACTTCCGCCTTTTGAGATGGAACGAAGTATGTTTTCCTGTCCAAATAAGACTGTGAATGCAATTGGTTTAGGTTTCGAGATAGTTGCAGAATTTGAACCTCTCTGTGCTTGAAAATTCAAATGGAACACCGCCTAACAAGTTGAATTGCGGACTTCTTTATGCTACAAAAGGGCCAGAATGCAAATAACACAAATACGACGATTTCCTTGTTGACGTCCTTGAATGTTTAGCAATATTTAATATGAGTTATATTTGAGATGTAGCTTCTATTTTATGGTTATGACCAAAACTAATTGAGTTGTGTTCGTATTAGATTATATTGAACACTTAGATTATATTTGGGAATACGATCAGATCTAATGTCTTTTCTTAAAGGTTACTTGGGGTTTGCCCAGAAATTATATTTACATTTTCATGTAACTCCTATTTGGAAAGGACTTCTTTATTTAAGTTATATGTGACAATAAAGCACATTTTTGGATAACTATGTCCTTATCAAATTTTACTAAGTTGTTACATTCTAGTTGAAGTTGGAAAAGGTATCATATTGGGACATCTCGGAGGAGTCCGGGGTCAACATTGGAAATTTGGAGAGCTTAAATCTCTAAAGTCTGGATTTATCATCCCCAAAAAGAACCAAAGCCAAAGTCAATAAAAAAGGTTTGTGTTTCACACACACACAGACATATATATACATACACATTTGTTTTGCGCGCGTGTGTCGTATGAGGGCGCCCTGTTTTGTTTCCCAACTGTCAAGTTATTGACCGTCTTGGGCTTGGGAAGAGCGGCCGAACACGAGGAGAGCTGTTGACTTGAGTTGCCTTTTGGGGGGATCTTACTGTTGCAAGTGCAAAAGCTCTTCGCAGGGTCTCGCGCCGCCTGTGAGCGTTTCCTGCTCAAGAATGCTTGCAGCCGCCCTGGCTGTCTACCGAATTGGTAAACGCTTGCGGGGAAGGCAGATGGGTGAAAACGGGAAAAACGAAACGTGGACTCTGCAGCTGTGAGGTTCTCAGGCTATGTCGAGAAGAGAAAGGCGCTGAAACTTGCGCGCGAGCAGGCTCAGAGCAGGCTCGGATTCGGAGCCGTATGAGGATGGATGGTGTGTGGAAGCCACCCTGAGGACATCCAAGAGGCTTGCGCAGGTGTTCGATGATGAGTATGACGAGGAGGACGGGCACATCGTGCGTGGTTTCAAGCGCTTCAAGTCTCTGCCAGGAGGCAGAGGAGGAAGATCAGACCGACGATGAAGAGATTGCCCCTTGGCAGTTTGATTTGAAAGCCCGGCAAGCCGGAAAGCCACTCTCCGAGGGGGACGACTTCGATGAAGGAGAAGAGGAGGCGTGCAAAACGCGCCATGGGCGCAACAAGCCGTGAGCTTGACAGGAGCGGGACATGTGGGGCGGCCTGCAGTTGCGGCCCGACGCAGGCAGGAGTTGCAGCAAAAACCTTGGGCAACTCGCCTTCTGTTTGCCCAGGCATTGATCAGTGCCTTGGCCGTGATCAGCGTGTTGTGTGGCACTGAGATGCGATTGCTTGGGGCTTGAGGCGGGACGCTGCTCAGCTGCATTTTTAATGGTGCGTCGTCATGGCCACGGGTTCTGTCTGGTGGGTCTTCAGATCTTCAGGTTTTGAGGTCTTGGCTGTGAGGACAACTCTGACGAGAACCAGCTCACCGAGTGGGACGAGGTCCTGGATGACGCGGAAGTGGAGGTCTGGAAAATTCCGCAAATCTCCGCGAGTCGACATCAAACGGCCAGGATCTGCATCGCCTGGTCCGGGAGCTGCAGCCCAAGCTCCTTCAGCCTGAAGAGGTCCCGGCCCAGGACGCTTCTCCCTCCAGAAACGGGCACAAAAAGGAGCCCCTATTTTTTACAGTGCTTGTTGAAGGCGCAGTATTTCGGACATGTATGCTAGTAGATTCCAAGGATCATGGTTGCACCGATGCATTCTGAAGCCGGGATGCTGGTTAAGCGGATTTGTTATGGCGTCTCTTCGTCCAAGGGAGGGGTAACCTGCGACAGGCTTTGGGCAGGGCCGGGTCAGGGCGGATGGGGGGGTGCAGGTGAAGGGAAAGTGACCGTGCTAGTTTTTTGGCCCTATTTGCAAAGTCTCTGTTTGAATCGACAACTTCCTTGAAGTTGCAAGTGATTCATTTGCCCAGATTCGAATTCAATAATTCACGAGATAAGTTGAGCTATACATCTTAATATCTCATACGCTTAGCTAGTGTTTGCTGCTTGAGCATTGCATGAATAGCGCCATATGTGCTAGTGATGATGCAGGATTAGAAGTGGTTGGTAAAAGCAGAGGTAAAAAATCTCTGCAACCAACACTAATATTGCTCTGCTGCGCTTTTGCCTTTAGTGAGTTAGGATGATAATGGTAAAAATAGTGCAAGCGAGAAGAAAAAAAATAAAAATGCGCAGAGCGTGCAGCCCAACAAATGGACACGGAAAGCATGATGCTTCTGCGAACTGCACCCGTGTACGAGCAGGGTCATGTACCGAAGACAAATAGGGCATTGTCCTTCGATGTCCAGTAATCCGATTTGACCTAGTTCGGAGCAATGGGTCCTACAATCACCTGTTGTAGTATTCATGGAGTAGCACGTGGATTGACACGATATGATTCAGCTCCGTCGCGTGGTCCATCTGCAAAGCTCCAAGATGCCTTATTTGCCCAGAAACATTTCCTGGAAGTTGCATGTAAATCAACGGGTTACCTTGCTTTGCAGCAGTTGAAGCTGCTTAACTGAATGAGTCACTGCATAAGTTGAGTAGTAGCTCAAGAGATAAGATAGGGTTTGCTGCTTGGACATTTGCACGATAAACTCCAGAGTGGCAAGCATTTCCTGCTTGCAATGATAAATTAGATCCGTAGCACCCTGCAGCTGAAGTGTTCTAGCACCAGAAATCGATACCTCCTTTGAACAGAAAGACTTCCTTAAATTATTCAGTGGCCCATCTGAAGCAGCCAAGGTTGATTGAACTGAATGATTCGCTGCATAAGTCGCGTTGCTGTTTATTGCTTGCGCCTAGATTAGAAACTCGTGGTCGATGGAAGTGACTTTTTAGCACCCTCATTAGTTGAGCAACAGTGTAGCACTGTGCAGCTTAAGTTCTTAAGCTAGCGCCAGACATTGTCTTATTTTCTCAAACTCACTGGCTCCTCTTTCACAGCCATTGAGAACATTTGAACTGAACGACTCCTTGAATAACCAGACAGCAGCTACGCTGAGCTTGGGTTTGCTGCATCCACTGCACCCTAGAGCTGCAAACAACCCATTTGACAGGCCTGAAGACATGAATAGCGCATTGGTTTCAGCGGGTTCAGATGCAAAGGGCAGAACACAGCTACACGGAAAACAAGGGCCCACCTTCGTTGTCTTTCTCACGTGAAGGCCGCGCAAAGCCTCCGTCTTTTGTGTTGGCTCATGCTAGGAGCTGAGGTTTCGGAAAGAACTGGCGGGAGGCCCCAGAATGGCCTGTTTTGGCAAGACCTGGCGAGCCGGGCAAGCCGTCCCATTGGCATGGAAGACAGAGGTGAAGGGCCGACCGCTCATCAAGTTCAACGCGGTGTTGCAGTTTGGAGAGGCACCGGGTAGACGAGTCGCAGGGCTCCTAGGACTCCTAGGACTCCTAGGACTCCTAGGACTCCTAGGACTCCTAGGACTGCTTGTGCGGTGCATGCCAGGGTGCTCGATCAGCACGTGGGTGTGGCGTGGAGGGCGCATAGCCCTCAGAAGGTCTACCAGGTGAACAGCCGCTTGCAATCACTTCTCTTGCGCCAGGCCGGTGCGCTGTGGAGCTGTCCTGGGAGGTTGCGGCCAAGGCGAGAGACGGCATTGGAACCGTGCAGAAAGAAGCAGGGAAAGCAAGCCAGACTTGGCTGGCGAAGATGTTCTGAGACGCAGGCATGTCCCGGAGTTCATCATCGTCACCGGCCCGGGGCCCTTCTACTTGCGAGGTGTCCGCAAGTTGCGCGAGTCGCGACTTGCACGAGTCCAGGCCACACACAGCGGCAGCGGGGCAACATGGGGGTCAACGGTTTCTACCAGCGCTTCAACCAGGCCGATGGGTCTGCCATTATGAGAAGGCAAATCGACAGCCAAACAGAAAGCGTTTCAGCTCAAAAGGGAAGCTTCAACTAGAGCAGACCATGAGAACGGTTGAGATAGGGTAGCTGCGGCGCTGAAGTTGCTTCCTTTTTTGGGCCTTGCGTTGAAGCGTGAATGGGCAAAAACACTCAGCACTGTTGTTTCTTGTTTGATTTGCAGCATGCTTTCAAACCTACTGCCACATTTTGCGAAGCCGCAATGTTATGGTGTGATGCTCACCTCATTAAGACCGAATAGCAAACTCAAGTGCAACAGAGCAACATTGCAGTGATCGTTTGCTGTTGTGCACGTTCTCTCTCTCGCTCTCGCTCACCTCCTCACACTTTGTTCGACCGTGTGAGGACTTTCACGGTCGGCCTGTCTACCAGAAGATCATGGAGAGGCCTGCGCAGGTTTCGGAGAACGAGTGAGTCGTTCGAGACAGGCGCCAGGTCCAGAAATCTCTCGTCACCGAGGCGTTTGGGAACTTGAGATGTCAACTTGAGGGATCCGTTCGGTTTCGCGAGGAGGGCGACCTACTGCCAAGCCCAGAGGCCCGAACGGGGCGGGGGAACATAGAGCGTGTACTCCGGGGGGTTGTTCAGCCATGTTGTTATGCTGTACTCTTTATGTGAGATAGAAGAGCGTGCCGTCGCTTCTTGCCAATGGGCCGACTCATGCAGTATTGTATCTATGTTGCTCGCTTTCACCCCGACAACATGCCGAGAGGGCTCATGCCGCACAACTCAAGCAGCTCTTGCATCCCTGGCATCCGTGTCCGTAGACCTGAAGTCGCCTGGTCTGGGTGAAGCTTGGACGCTTCAGGTGTAATCACCGGCTCCACTCTGAGGTTCGGCTGAGGGACCGTGTACGCGTCGCTCCTTCCACCTGGAGTGGTGCATTCAGGAAGGCAATTCTGCGAGTCGCCCTTTCGGCTGCGTGAGTGCAGCCCACCAATACCCGAGGCGTACAAGGCCTGGTCCTCGCCCCGCACCAGTCGCCCAGCTTCACCGTGTCGACACCCTTGCATGTTGGGGCTCTTCGTGACCATCCTGGCCGCTTCAGCAGGCACTAACAACACACCGCGCCCCCTTCTCCTCAATCAGCGCGCGCGCTCCTTATCCACAGCTCGCGGTTCTGATCGACCACCTTCGAGACGATCTTGGTTGGCAAGATCTCATTGACTGCAATCTTCATTCTCAACTGCGCCTTCCGCCCTTAGAAGCCGCTCTTCAAACCTTTCGTGAACACTGCAGATATCCTCCGTCCCCGCTCCACGCACCTCTTTCCTCCTCCAAATTGCCTGCAAGCTTCTGACCTTCAGACTCCCCTTCTGCAAGAGGTTCTTCTCAGCGGTCCTTCCCGGATATCCCGGATCCTCCTCAAAGTCCCGGAGCATCTGCCTAAACAGCGCCGGGGCCAGGTAGGCCTTCTCGCCGGTCGGACCCATCTAGTTTATCCCCTTACACTTCACCCGAACCTCCTGGCAGAAGTTGGGGGGATCTGCTTCTCGTCCTTCAATCTGATCATTGGTTCCATCTCCAGGCGCAAGGCACCATTCTCCATCCCCGGCCGCATGTAGCACTCTCCGCATCCTCGCCTTTGCTGAATAGAAATCTTTGTCTGGTTGTGTAGTTGAAGTTGTCGGCCGAAGTAAATGTCCTCCATTCAAAATTGCCGATTCTAAACCACATTCTTCTTCTGCAACCCTCCGGTAGATGATCTTCAAGAGGAGTAATTGGTTTTGCCTCCTCTGCTCCGGGCCGAACTTCAGCTCTTCAAAGAGGTCCTTCTTCAGAATTCCTTCCGAGGCCTTTCGGCAGACTTTGGAGAATGCAAGTCAGGGGGAAGTCGCTGAAAAGCACATATATGCATGCAGTGACACTCCAGAGTGGTGCAGAAATTCTCGCAAGACTTCTGCTTTTGCGTTGGGATGGGGAATGTGGAGTTCAGCTGTGGTTTGGCTGAACGCTTGGTCATACAAGTTCAGATGCCGCATGCCGCCATTGAGCAGGTTGAGAAGTGGCCAGTCCAATGTCGCCATGTTGCCATTCCCAAAGGAATATCACGCATTTGATTCGCAGGGCCATTTTCATCTGCACGGGATGCACGTACGTGTAGCTTTGTAGCTTTGTATGTTTGCAAGAGCTTGCCGTCTCCACTGCAACTGCAAACAGACAATTCGAAGCATGTTGGCATATCAAATGCTCAAATTTTGCCGATGCAGAATTCGGGAATGTAGCGCGATGTGCTTGAACTGTCACAGTATTTGTGGCTATAATACGAAGTTGGCCCGCGTGGCATGATGCCATCTCTAGCCAACAACAAGGCCGTGTCATTGCATTTCTTCATTCTTGTTGCCATGTTTGATGTTCTGACCCCAAGTGTTTCCTCAACTAAGGACTACTGTAGCGACGGGTGTACTTGTGGTTCCCTTGCAAGCTTCCGAAGTGGCGTGAAGTGGCAAACACCAATTTTAGGCAGCCCGCGCGCGCAGGACAACTTCATCCGCGCATGGAAGCCGCGCAGCGAGGAGGCTTTGGTTCTTTCCAGGCGGCAGGGGGGCATGGAGCGTCTTCGATTTGATGGTATTGCTTCCTGAGGCGTTTCCAGACTGTCGGAGAAGTGCAGAGACCCCAAGATGTGCCATTGGAAGCCACAGAGTTGGGAAATGCAACGAGGCCGGCGGAAGATGGCGAAGACGTGGTGGTCTTCCCCAAGTTGCTTCCATCCAGAGAAATCTGGTTCCTGTTT